GCCGCCGCACCGTACACGAGCTCAGTTCAGTTGTCTGTCATCAATTATCATAATATATCATTGTAATAAAAATGGCCAAAAAATTCAAATACGATATTTATTCATTAATAGAAGTTATAGAGAGTAAAGAATGTTTGTGGGATAAAACCAAGGAAGTGTCCAAAGATAAAATTTTGCGTAGAAATGCATGGCGCGATGTTTGTGCCTTTTTAGAGCCGAACTTTGAGGATATGGACCAGAAAAACAAAGACGAAATTAGTAAGTACACGGTAGTTTATTATTTATGTTTTTAATTAAGTAATTACAAGTTTAGATTTTATTCATCTGCCAAGGTAAGGATCCTTCTGGGCTTACAAAGTATTCAGCAAAATTATTTCTTATGTCATTAGCGGTACGCCCACCATGCGGTACACTTCCTACCCTTGGTACATCAGTCAGCCCATCGTGCATAATAGATATGAACATATCCTCACCTCTGTAGCCATCTTTTTCACGTACAATATTATGCAAAACGACGCATGCTTTAACTATTGTTTTGCTAAGTTTTTTGTTGACATTTAGAGGGCGATGATAATATTCGCCATTTATTGGCCATAATGCCAAATGCACATTCAACGTATCTTCGTGCACGACAATGTCTATAGTTATAAATACGTTTTTTCACATCTAAATGGTTACCGCCAAAAGGACGTAATAAATGTTCAGTGAGCTGGAAAGCTTCATCGCCTAGTATAACATGTGGCATTCTGTAATTTTGAGATGAGTGCAGTGGAACAGGTGGAGGTATACTCAACCTGCCTTCAGTGAGTAGTTGATAGAAGTTTGTACGTCGAAAAATTGCGGAGTCGCAGTCTTTACCGTATGAATCGATATCTGAATCTGTAATCTGATTCAACTACTGCCAGAAGTACAATTGAGAAATATCCCTTATAATTAGTATAGTAGTGCCAGATTTCGGAAATTTTACAATCCGTATGTGTTTTCCATCGACACAACCGATGCAGTTTGGGAAATTGGCTCTTCGTTTAAATCCTTCCGCTATTAAGAACCATCGCTCAGTAGTAGGCCAAGCCAAGTGTTCAACACTTAAAATAGTCCATATTTGGTGACATACTTGTGTCACTATTCTGCTTATAGTTTTGATACCCAGTCGGAAGGTATATGACATATCGGTGAAGGTATTTCCACTTGCGAGGTATCTGTAATAAAAGTTTATTGTTAAATTTTATTGTTTCAGCAAGTGCTGTCATGAACAAGTGGAGTAACATTCGAGACACATTTATAAAGTCCCTTAAGACTAAGTCAGGACAAGCCGCAAAAAAAAAGTACATTTACAATGATAACCTACAATTTCTACTCAAGACTGAAACCCCCGACGAAACTGATTCAAGCATACCAACTCAAAATGATTCTGAAAGTCGTGCCGAAAGCCAACAAACATCACATAGTCACCTCGACCAATCTATACCTTCCCCATCCACATCTACCACGATTCGAAGGCGAACGAAAAGGCTAAATGCGGTCGATGCAGAAATATTAAAAGCTATACAGGCAAATCCCGCGGAATCGGAATCTGAATTACTTGACCGTGCATTTAAGATCTCTCTCTTGAATTGAACGACGATGATAGGTTTGACTCTAAAGTCAAAATTGCATAACTTCGATTTTAGAATTGCTTCGCAGATTTAAAAACCGCAGGCGTTTGTCGTGGTCAAGCACCGCTACACCTAGCGATCATGGTAACTTCCACCAACTGATTTCACCCCAGCATGAAACCCAACAAATACCATCTATTGGAGAATTATTTTCTCAAGAAATTTCTAAAATGTAGGTGTGTAAGTTTAATCTAACTACCTGGGCCCTATTTTATAAAACTACAAGTTACAGGCTACAGGTAAATTACTAGCAACATTGACGGATCCGCATTCGTGATTGGTCGAGACTGCGTCATTAATGTCACTTTACCTGTAGAATTGTAACTTGTAGCTTTATAAAATTGGACCCTTTTATTCATACTATCATATAAGGTGACTACCTGTCATTCATACTATTATTCAAATAAATATATTAAAACACAAAAAGTATTACTTCCTACACATCGCCGCAAGTAAAAGACGCATGTTGAGTTAGTGACGCAGACTGACATTACCAACTGTACAGACCTTCCCTACACTAACATGCGTCTTCTAGTTGCGGTGATGGAGTAGTATTTTACTACGTACCTCAACGTTACAGCTAACATTTCAGTTGGTGGTATGCATGTCCTGTAGTTCGTGTTTTGGAGTGTGATGCTATCCTTAATATGATATAGGATATAATCGAACGTAGTCGTGGACATCCTATAGTAGTTAAAAAACTTCTCGTCATGCTGCCGCAACTTGGCGTAGTGTACGTAAAACGCCCCTGTGATGTATCGTTCACGTATTAGCGGATGAACCCAAAATTCTTTGCATTGCCTGCGCCTTCGAAGGTACAAAAGCAGGAGAAGAAGTTGTCGCCGGTTTAACCTAGCCATCACTTTATTTCTTCGAAAACGCGACTACCACGCATGACAGTTGGAACAAACTAAACCATCGGTCGCGATGGACAACCGATCGCCGTCACGTCATACTAAACTTGGCCCGAAATAATCTCGTTCTCGGTGACGGCGGCGGTGGACAAACGGCCTTACTCTGAAAATATCTGTATTTTTGCGTTCTTTTTTATTTTTTTCTATAGTAAACAATATTTTCTATGATGTAATAGTCAAATATTTAAATAAATTAATCGCTAAAAATAAAATCTACTTTTACAGATGGGTTCCATATTTCTGAAAATGCTCATGTAATTTCGATTTGTTTAGCGCGCTGTCAGAAAGTGACTACGGAACCCTACTTTATGCGTGGAACCGAACATACCGTCGTTTTTTCGCCGTCACGTTGCCATCTTTCATTCGCCAACAAATGCATACTTACTCGCTTGAAAACCGTTGAAAACGCGGGGGGTATGGTACCCCTCCCACGTCTTTCCCCGCTTGCTCGCTTGCTCGCATCGCAATCACGGTTATTGCCCGTTTATCCTTCAAGCGGGCGCGCGGTGTCGAATCGACCGTGCTCAATACATTTTCGTTCATACTATTATTATTACTTGTCACATGTATTTCTCATTTCTAGTAGCCTATCGCTTTGTCGTTGTGAGCGAAATAAAGAGTTTACGTGCTACGTTTTATGTCCTCAACATTGAACTTTATGCTGGTAAGCAGCCCGTACCAGTTGAGCAATGCTGCAGCAGACGTCGTGAAGAGGCTAATTACACCAATTTCTGGCACTGGACGAACAATCGACAATTGGTACACCAGTGTGTCTTTGGTGAACGATTTGGCCAAGGATTATAAGATTTCTGTGGTGGGTACTATGTGTAAAAACAAGAAAGAAATACCCCCTTGCTTTACAGATAAAAGCCGACCTGAATATTCAAGTCAATTTGGATTTTCTGATACAGCTACGCTCATATCTTACGTGCCTAAAAAAATAGGTCTGTAGTTCTAATATCATCACTTCATTGTGCTGCGGAAATTGATGAAAGTACAAATGAAAAGCGCAAACCCAGCATCGTCACTTTTTACAAAACTAAAGGGGGTGTCGATGAAGTCGATAAAAAAGTAAAAATGTATTCGACATCAAGGAAGAATAATAGATGGCCATTGACACTCTTCTTTCGTCTTCTAGATATTGCTGGAATAAATTTCATAGTGATATTGAAATAATGTGACTATTCAGAAAAGGCGAAAGTATTTACGGGCATTGGGCATTGAATTGAAAAAAGAGTACGTCCAAAGAAGAGCACCGATGGTAAACCTTCCAAGGAAACTAAAAAGAAACATAAGGGAGCGTTTGAATATGGATGTTGAAGATTCTGCTGATATAGAAGCAAGCAGTATTTCCAGCACATGCAGAGGAAGCTGTAAAATATGTCCAGCAAAAAAAAGGAGGCAATCGAAGACATAATGTAAATCATGTCGGAGAAATATTTGCAGAAGTCACACTACATTCATATGCAATGAATGTTATATGGACGAAGAAACTGATTCTGATGAAAACTAAATGAAAGTTTAATTTTGTTTTATTACTATTTTGCCATTACTGTTTTTTGATCCAAAGAATACTTGAGTTATGTTATTTGATTGAATAATTGTTTCTTTTTCTTAATTTAAATTACTTGTTTTCACGAATTAGACTTTAAATAAAATGATAATGTATCTGTGTGTCAAAAATAAATGATTATTGGATAATTTAATGATTTATTTCTCTCATATATCCCATAGGTCTTTTCGATTACGCGCGACCGCTGGCGTTACGAATGACTGTGCGCCCGCTTGAAGGTTATTTACCTACAAGTGTGCCGCGCGACCGCGACTGACGTTTTTTGTTCGTCGTTGTTTTGTTTCGCTTTATTTTTCTTCAAAATGGACAGAATTTTATTAATCAAAGAAATTGATAGTTCAAATGATAGTGATAAAGTATCTACTAGTGGCGGTGGGGAAGCAAAGAAGAGGAAATATCGGAAATACGATGATAGCTATTTGGACTTTGGTTTTACTTCAATAGAAGTCGACAATGAAGAAAAACCGTAGTGGGTGCTTTGTTTGAAAATACTATCATCCGAATGTATGCTTCCAAGTAAGTTATCAATTCGTCCAACTATGGCTGATAAATCGCGTGATTTTTTTCACCGGAAACTACAAAATTTAAATAAAACGAAAAAGGTATTCACTCAGCAGGCCTCAGTACCTAAAAACGCACTGTTAGCATCATTCCAGGTGGCATACAGGGTAGCAAAATGCAAAAAACCTCATACTATTGCAGAAGATCACATTCTACCGGCTGCTCGCGACATGGTAAATATTATGATGGGAGAATCAGCTGAAAAATTAATTTCCAAGATACTCTTGTCTAACAATACTATCAGTCGAAGAATCCATGACATTACTGAGGAACTCAATCACCAATTAATAGATAAAAATGAAAAGCAAGGAATTTGGTTTACAACTTGACGAGGCTACTGACAGTAATGATGATACACATCTTATTTGCTACGTACGCTTTCTGGCTGACAATATCATTGTCGAAGACCTTTTATTCTGCAAAAGCATAATCGGAAGTGCGAAAGCCCAAGACTTGTATGAAATTGTAGACAAGTTTTTCACAGAAAATTGTTTGGATTGGAAAAAGTGTATTGGTGTATGTACTGATGGTGCTCGATCGATGTCTGGCAAGTGTGGGGGATTACAAGCACTTATTCGTAAAAAAACACCGAATGCTATGTGGACCCATAGCATCATCCATAGGGAAGCTCTGGCATCAAAATCAATGAGCTCTGAACTGAACCAAGTACTAGAATGTGTAATTAGTGTGGTAAACTACACACATCAAAAGTGTCTAGGGATCAACATATATTTTTGCAATAACTTTTCTCCTGATTGATATTAAATAAAATTTTCTTTAAGGATTCATCAAATAAAGTGTTTTCGTTTGTCACAGTAACGATAAACCAAGTCGCCTTTGCATTAATAAAGAAATTTGCCATTTTCCTAATAAAGGGATTTTTGACATTTGAACCACTAACACAAAAGTTCGAAAAAAAGACTGAAATAACAGTTTTCTCTAAAATTTTATTGGGTAACTTAAACAATTAATAATCCGTATTTCTACCGCGAACACTAACAACACAAGAACATCGGTTTGGCATACTCAAAATGAGTTCATCCAAATCACGCTGTGGAATGGCCGCCCATGTTCGTTGCAACAACAAAAAAAGGTCTTCTTGCGACTGGATACCCTCCATATTCGGCAGAGCTCTTCTCTGTAGCATATCCCATGCATGCTCAATCGGGTTCAAGTCTGGCGACTGAGCAGGCCAGGGCAGGACATTGATGTTAGCTGCGGCGAGAGTCTGTCTTACAACTCTTGCGGTGTGCGGTCGTGCATTATCATGCATTAACTGAAATAAGGGACCGATTTGCACTTGTAGAGGAACGATGACGTCTGATACAATCGTCTCAGCATAAATTTGAGCGTTGAGGTTGCCTCTGATCCAAATCAACTCAGTTCTTCCGCCGATCCAAATACCCGCCCATACCATGATGGTTCCACCACTATAAGGATGGACTTCCTGGCAGGATTTTAATCGCTGTTGGCGTCCAGGGGTTCTCCAGTGTCGTATACGTCTTGTATCCGGTCTCATACCAAAACGAGACTCATCAGAAAAGCACACGAAACGCCATTGTTCTTCTGCCCAATTTCTGTGTTCAAGAGCCCATTGATATCGAATCCTACGATTGTGCATTGCTATAGGTGGTACCCGTAGCGGTCTTCGGGAATGAAGGTTCACTTCATGCAAGCGGTTTCTGACTGTTTGGTCGCTAATTAAGTTCCCTGAAGAGTGATGAAGCCTCACGGCTAACATCATGGCGGTTATTGTTGGAGCTCTTCGAGTTAAGATTTGAATGTATCGGTCTTGTCTCCGTGTGGTGCAGCGATACCGTCCTCCATGGCGCTCAGCCACGGTACCAGTGCTTCGGTATCGTGTCCAAAGTCGACTGATAACACTCTGACTTGTATTCAGAGCTAAAGCCACAGTACGTTGCCGGGAACCAGCTTCTATCATTCCCACGGCTCTGAGCATTTCTTCCCTGCTTAAATGACGACGCCGCTCCATAATAACGTTGGTTTTAATCAGTAGTAGGGAAACAGTAGCACTAATAATGTCTTCAATGCGTTGTATGTTTTTATAGGGAAAATATTGACAGCTGATTTTCATCTTTTACTCGAATTTGATTCACAGTTCCTGATTCAAATTATGAAATGCACCAAAAAGGATCCATATAAATTTATAAAATCATAAATTTATTACAAAGCCACATCTCAATCTCAAGAAATCCGCATAAAAATGCTTGATCCCTAGACACTTTTGATGTGTGTACATAAAAACTAGGCCTCTAAAGGCTAGACTTTTTAAAAAACTATGCATAGGTATGGGAGCTGAATATGCAGCCCTGCTGTACTACTGTAATTCACGATGGTATTCACATGGAAATGTTTTATTTCGTGTGTTTGAATTACACGAAGAAATTTCTATTTTTTTATATCAAGAACGTCAAGAAAATGCCAAATATTTTACTGAAACTGATTTTTTGCTAAAGCTAGCATATTTATGCGATGTGTTTGAGAAATTAAACAATTTAAATCTGTCTTTGCAAGGCAACAACACGCACATTCTGCAACTTTCGGAGTAGATTCGGAGTAGCGGCATTTAGAAAGAAACTGCAGTTGTGGATAACAAATTTAAAAGAAGGAGGCGGTCAAGAGTGCTTCCCGCGATTGTATAATTATGTGGCATCAAATGAACTGGTTGTTTCACAAGACCTGATCGTCCTTTTCACGGAACACCTAGCGAAGCTCTCCGAATTATTTTCAAAATATTCCGCAAATGATGATGTTGAAAAATTTGCGTGAATCCAAGACCCTTTCCATGCACAATATCCACAAGGATTTACATCACAAGATAAAGAGAGTCTTATTGAACTTTCTTGCGACAGCAGCCTTAAAACAAGATTCACGAGTGTCGATTTGGTTGAGTTTTGGTTATCGATCCAAAATAAATATCCAAATTTAACTTCCAAAGCATTAAAAATTTTCATTCCGTTAGCAACATCGTATTTATGTGAAGCCGGGTTTTCAGCTGTAGCTGTGATAAAGAACAAATATCGCTCAAAGATCAATGTTGAGCAAGAAATGAGAGTAGCAGTGTCAAGTCTTATTCCCCGCTTTGAAAAACTGCGGAGATCACCAAGCTCACACTTCACATTGATTTTTCTGAGTAAATATCGTATTTAATTTTTGTTTGTTCTTAATTCTTTCTTTTTGTTTTCCTTTCAAATTCTTTTATAATAAAAATTCAACTTTATATTGTGGTGTTTTAATTTTCGTTACGATCAACCAAACTTAACTACTATTATTGTAGGTACTTATTTCTTTCGATTATTTTCCTCAAATAGTTAACTAGGACAGGGCGCCGTGAAAAAATATTAAACTTGTAACTGCGCCGCGGGTTACAAAAGATTGGAAACCCCTGGTATGGACAGCATTTCCTAAACATTGGTTTTTACTTTTTTCAGTCTAAGTTACATGAAATTGCGGATTTACTGATACAATGGATAATGATGACTTACGGGTCATTTTTATCGAGCCTCCTAATACAGATGAAGATTCTGCCGATAAAGATTCTGGTGGCCTGATTGAAAACTTGACATGTAGACAACTATTACGGGGTGCAGAAATAGTTTCACAAAACATAAATAAAGAGGAACCTGGCGAGTGTTTAAGCGCCTTGGGTCCGATCAACAAGTAAGAAGCGCAAAATAACTTATAAGTGGAATAAATCTAATCGTCCTGACCATCCTTCATCACCATTTTCTCCGTCATCATGTCATAATTATACAGATATGTCATGCAATGATATGTTTCAACTATTTTTCGATGACAAGTTGTGTGAATTTCCTATAGAACAAAGTACTTGTTATGCATTATTTTTAAACTGTCCAGATCCTCGAATTGGTACTGCAGAGTTTAGATGTTTTATTGCTATTTTGATATTGTCAGGGTATAATTACCAAGTAAAAGGTCGTACTGGGATAGTGGTAATGACATGCGTAATACATTAGTTTATAATGCTATGAGACGAGACAGATTTATTCAGATTTTGCGTTTTATTCATGCCGCTGACAACAATTACCTAGACAAAATGGGCTTTTGAACAAAATCTCAATTATGATGAAAGTATGATTGAGTACTTCGGGAAACATGGATGCAAACAGTACATTCGTAATAAACCTATCCGCTTAGGGTATAAATGTTGGTGTTTGAAAAATAGTAATGGATACTTGGCTAATGTGTAGGAGGTATATCAAGGTGCTATTCAAGATGCAAATAATGAATATGAACAAAATTTTGGAAAGGCAACAGCGCCTATACTTTCAATGATTAGTGAGCTACCGGAAGTCATGAGGAAGCAGAAACTTCAATTTTATTTTGACAACTACTTTACGGATATACCACTTTTAGTTCAATTAAAAAGTATAGGCTACGGAGGAACAGTCACACTTCGCCAAAACCAATTGCCGAAAGAATGCCCTATTACTAAAGTTGAATCAATGAAAAAGAGAGAACGAGTATATTACGAATGTGCCTCTCAAGGTGATGTTGTTGCGGTCCGCAGGATGGATAATTCAGTGGTGACAGTTGCGTCAAAAGATCACAAAGTAGATCCCGTGAGATTTGCCGATAGATATTTAAAAACTAGCGAGCAAAAAATAAAAGTACCGAGACCCAATCTAGCCATTTATAATCAGTTCGTGGGTGGTGCAGATCTCATGGATGCTCACGTAAATAATTATAGGATTGGTATTCGAGGAAAAAAGTGATGGTGGCCAATTTTTAAGTGGCTTATTCATGTTCATTCCCCGAACATGAATAATAGGGTGGGCTAACTTGTCTCTATAGAAGGCAATCAAAATGCAACAAAGAAAAAAAAATATATCTAACCTCCAGCTAGCGCATTACATTTGAAATATCAAAATTTTACTAAAATCATAAGTTTTTGTATTTTTTTTAAAAACATCTTAATAGCTGCATATTGGGCTGCTATAGTGATAACCCTTTACAGCAGAGTTTCAAAAATACAATAAATAGTTGGAAAAGTAAAATTTTATTAATCTGACGTAGCGCAACGAGCATGGAAATGACGCATTATACAGTCAAGTGCAGATGAGAGAAGGCGTTCGGGCGATGACTCGGCCGCCTTGCCGGGCTTCCCCCACCCAAACTCTCTCTACCCACAATGCACTGCCATTTCTTGTTCTCTGTTAGAGCGCTTGTAGACGTCCGTTTTTTTCATCGGATAACGGACCGTGTTTTTTGCCGGATTCGCGGTGGTGTATGAATTATAATGAATGTGTGTACATGCACCGGACATCGGTCCGGCGAACAATTTACGCCGGATGCACCACCCCTTCCCCTCGGTGCGACGGACACCTGTCCGGTGTAAGAAATGGCGGTCATCCACGCCAGTGTATTGGTGCGTGTTGACGCTGCCGGACGTATTGCCTGTTTTCTGTTAATTGAGTGCCGTCTACCTGCGTTCTTTTAAAAATGGGTGATATTGACATGGAATTGTTAATAAGTTTGGTTGAAAATAGGCCTGTACTGTGGGACAAAACCCAAGAGTGCTATAAAAATAGACAGTCGAGTTTTGCCGCTTGGAAAGAAATTTGTTTTGCGTTAAATAAAGGTTTTGAAACGATGTCCGAGAAAGAAAAAAATGATTTTGGTAAGTAACATTTTATTTTCATTATTTTTATGCATGTTGATTTTGCCATGGTACACGCCCTACTGGTGACTTGAAATACTCTGCATATTTGTTACGAATCATATTTGCTGTTACATTACCTCGTGTTGAATGGGAACGAGGCAAATGGCATAGAGTAGACACCATGTGTGAACTAGCAGTGTCAGTAGCATTATTAGCAATACCCTCTACTTTATGAATTATGTTTTGTAATAAGCAGCATGTTTTTACAATGTTAACAGCAGTATCTGTTGAAACATTTAATGGTCTATGCAAAATCCTCCATTTATTGGATAAAATACCAAATGCGCATTCGACGTAGCGTCGCGCTCTTGTGAGACGATAATTGAAATTTTTTTTTATTGAGTCAAGTTGATGCCCACCGTAAGGACGAAGTACGTGTTGATGTAAAGCGAAAGCTTCATCAGCAACAAATACATAAGGTAACTCACTGCCTGCACCTGGCAACTGCTTAGGTCGAGGAATATTTAATTTATCGCCAACTATTCTTTTCCAAAATTCTGTTTCTTTAAATACTGCTGAATCGCATTCTTTGCCGTAGGCTCCAACATCAATAAAAACAAAATTATAGTTTGTGTCTACCACAGCCATTAATACTATTGAGAAATAGTGCTTGTAGTTGAGAAACATTGATCCACTTTCTTCTGGCTTGATGATTCTAATATGTTTGCCGTCAATGGCTCCCAAGCAATGAGGAAAATTTGCATTCGTCTCGAAATTTTTTGCTATTGTTAACCATTCGTCTTCCGATGGTAGTTTCATATAAATTGGAGAAAGGGTGTTTCCCACAATGCTTCAAATACTTCTTGTACAATACAGCTGATAGTTTTTATACCCATTCTGAAACTGTAATGTAGATCACTAAATGTGTTCCCTGCAGCTAAATATCTGTAACATTTATTTTCTTTTTTAGGCAAAGATATCATAAAAAAATGGAACAATGCAAGAGATAACTGGATGAAATATCACAAAAAAGTTAAGGAATGTAAATCCGGCTCTGGTGCAAAAAGTCTACGAAAATATAAATTCTACGATCAAATGCTCTTTTTGTGTAAAATTGTGACTCGCCGAACAACGGAAGCAAGTATTACATCAGAAAAAAACATCACACAATCTCACAACAAAGAAACTGACTCACAAACCAATAATGACCCTACCGCACCAGCCAATACTACCGATTTAACAAAAACAAGCAAGAAGAGAAAGACAGACTGTAGCGAAGTTGATCGACAAATGCTTACTTTAATTAAATCAGTTAAAGATGAAGACAAGAGTAAGAGTATGTGTTTTTTCAAAGGTATTGCTCCGATTGTAGACAAGTATAGTGATGACGATTATGTTGAATTCCAATATGAAGTCATTAAAGATATGAGAAATTTAACTCGGAGAAATCAAGCGTCCATGCAGCAGCAAAATTACAATTACAATATTAATTGAGGCTACACTACGGCTACACCCGACTACAGGATACACGAATATCAACCAACACAACCCATTCCATCGACATCCAGGATGCCCTATGAATATCAGCCAACAGAACTCATTCCATCCACATCCAGGATGCCTCAAGAACTCATGCAGCAAGATGATTCCCAATCTTCAATTACTGAATTAAGTTCAATCACATCGCCTGATTACGATTTCGATTTTTCTAAAACTCCTTAATTTATTTTTTGAGTATAAGAAAACAATTACTACCTACTAAATTTTGTTTTAATTAATACAGGTAATCAATCCCCTTTTCTATAATTTGAAATTGAACATCTCTTTAACATACCTTATCGTAACGGCTAATCTCTCTGCCGGGGAAATAGATTCTTTTTTTTGTCTTATTTTATCATATATGGCTGTTAATAATAGTTGAAAGGTTTCTTTCTTCATCCGAAAATAATTGTAAAATTTAGTTTCATCTTCTTCCAACTGCATAAAAAGAGTTTGAAATGCACCATATTTTTCCATTTCCAATAATAATATAGGATGCACCCACGATGACCTTTTACGTTTTTCTATTTCTTTTTGTTTCTTCTTGTACAAATAGTAGGCCAATACGAGTTTTTTTTTTCTTATTATTCGACATTTCACACGTGTGTAATCTCTGACTACCAGTTCAAAACTAACGCATATAGACGGCAGTCCATCCATCCGGTAAAAAAAATATGTATACAAGGATAGCCGTTTATTGACGGTCCGTTATCCGGTGAAAAAAACGGATGTCTACAAGCACTCTTAATAGGCAGTTTACGTCAGCAGACGCTTTTAGACTGATGTGTATTCGCTGTGAGTTGATGGTGCAAATTATGTTCGTAATTTTTTGAGTGAAGGTTAACTTTAAATTCGCGTGCGTGATGGCTGCTGCCAAGAAAATAACTCGGAGTGATTTTGATTGTCCATTGTTTGGCTGCCCAAAGGAATTGCCTGTGAGTAAGCTTCCAACTTACCAAGATGTCCTTAGGAGCTGTTTCCACGAACAGTACCTTCTAGCATTAGAAAGTAAGAAGTCTGTTAGTTTCTCTCAGATATCTAACATTGTCGCTCCAAAAGTGAAAGCCGTCTTTGACAAAGCATCAATACCGACAGTGACGCCGTACAGAATTGTTCAATTAATAAATTCATACCACAATAGCTACCGTAATCTAATGAAGTCCTTTAAGCGTGACAAGGAAAAAGACAAGTACAAACAGAAAATTGAGGAATTCAAGCAAAAGGCTTTATCACTCTTTGATGTATCTGCATGTAAATGTAAAATAGCATACTCCTGCTACTGCAAAAAGGTCCCGGAGATCTGTAAGTGCCCTTTACCAATTTCATATAAATGTGAAAAAGATAAAAAAATTCCAGTGCTTGAACTTAAGTTTATGTATTTCCAAAGAAATCTTGGGCAAGGAAAATTTGGAAATTTAGACAAGAAGGAGTCGAAAAAAATTACCAAAAGACTGCGACGTAACGAAATAAAAAATCAGGCTATGTCGTCTAACATTCCATTAGTTTCACATTCGCAGCCTTCATGCTCTAAGGATGCAACAGAACCAAGAATAGGTTCAGACGAAAGCTCAATGGAAGAGGAAGAGCCTGATGGTTCCGATGACAACTACATTCCTATTCCGAGCAAACAGCCGTGACAAATGTGGATACAATTAAAAAATACCGCATTGGCCAGTGACCGATTTGGTGTTTCAGACAGGGCAACAGCTGCTATTGCCTCCAGTGTAATGCATGACCTTGGTCTTGCAACAAAAGAGGATGATTCCCTCATAATAGATAAGAACAAGGTTAGGAGGGAAAAAAATACATTCAGATCAAATCTCCAAGATATGATAAAAAAAGAACCAAACGTTATACAAGGGCTATACTTTGATGGTCGAAAGGATAATACTTTAAAAATTGAAGAA